CCGCCATGGGCGTTGGCAGGATGGTGTAAAAGAGTCACTAAGTCTCCTCAAAACACAACAGCACTTGACCCCCCCCCCCCCCCCTAAACATCCCAAGCACTCTCCCGCTCGCTCACTTGGCTGCTATTCACACCGACTTGCACCCCCGAAAACTAAATCCTACCGGCACTCATGGTAACCACTGCACCACAGCGACGAAGCCACTGCATCTTCTTAAGCACGCGAACGCCTACGTAATTCGGCTTGTTTCGGCGTGCTCACACAGGTCACGGCAGACGGAGTATTTCCTCCGCACCACCGTCCTAACACGTCGCGTCACCGTCGCAGCAGGTTTCATTGTTCTCGGGGACGCGTCATTTATGTGTCGCTTCCTTCAGCCGCATACGGTGTAGTTCACTGTTTGGAGTCCTTGCTGGGAAAAAAAAACAAAACGGCAGCGGCAACCTTGAATAGTTTTTTTTTTTAGTTCACTCAATGCAATCATCGTGCCAATATGGCAATATATTGCCGTGCCTAATCGACATGTTTTGCGTCTCTGAGCACTCGGCTTGGACACTATCGACAACGAAAACTGCGATGTTATTGAGAACTAAGAGACAGGATGAGGAAGAGGAGGAGGAGGAGGAGGAGAAGAAGGAGGAAGGAAAGAAATGAAAGGCAGGGAGGTCAACCAGACGCACGTCCGGTTTGCTGCCCTGCACTGGGGGAAGGGATGAGGGGATTAAAGGAGAAGAGAGAGAGAAGTGAAGGGCAGCGTGTGTGTAGATGTGACCTTGTCCATTGCACGCTTATAAGCGGTCGCTTAGTCCGGTCGTCTTTAGAAAACTTAGCAATGCCCGCGTCGCTTTGCTGGCCAGCGACGCATAGAGCCATGAGCCAAGCATCTTCTCTTCGGAAACTAAGAGACAGGGTTGACAAGCAAAGTATAGAATGTTACTAGTGGCACTTGTAATGTTGATGTATGAGACAGAAAAAGAAGACAAACACATAACTCGCCGTGGAGAGGGACCAAACTTGTGACCTTCGAATGATGCGTCCGGTGCTGCGTTGTTTCAAAGTAGCAGGTACGGGTCTCAGATCGCAGGTACGGAAAGGTATCTTTTCGCACAACTTTTCTTCCTTCACATTTACATTACAAACAATACTGATAGCATCCCCCTATACTTGCCTTGGTATCATTGTCAATTCTGATTAACATTGTGTCCGATAAAAAAATAAGCCCATAATTTTTCTAAAAGCAGCTCTGCACACTTCTTTTTCCTTCCCCCCTCCCCCCAATGTAGTAGTTGTAATAAACTCTGGCATTAATCGCATGCATTCTCAAATGCCACGTCAATATTCTACAAAGAATTACATCTGCAACCGACCCGAATTCCTGCCTTACGAAGCCACACTGGTAGTTCCAAATCTTTGTAATTAGGTCGTTTAAAAAGGCGCACTGATTTCTTGTGCATTTTCTCTGAACTTTTAAGGATTCTGGCTTCCATTATTTGAGACAATTCATACTTTTCATTTTTATTGATTTATTTCTCCAGCCATGATTTGAAATATTTAATTTAACCAGATAATCTCATTGTGCTTGTTCAATACATTTCTTAATGTATTATTCTATGTTAATGCTTGTTGCATTCTGTCTCGAGTTTCTTTTGATTGAGTTTTGATTGAGTTTTATTCAGTAACCCATCATGGAGGTCTAAGGGTTGTGGTTTTCGACTGTTGATCCGAACGTTACGGGATCGAATACTGGTCGCGGCGGTGGAATTTACGATGAAGACGAAAATTCGTAAGCTCCATGTGCTTAAATTTAGGTGGTGGTTAGGTAACCCCAGGTGGTTGACATTTCTGGAGCCCTCAACTAAAGCGTCTCATATTCATATTCTTGTTTTGGGACATTAAACCACAAAAGTTACTAACAATATTTATTTGTTATTTAGCAACATTTTTACAACAAAAAGTAAAGAACTCAAACTATTCAAACCATCATTGTTTACTCACGCCTTTCTTAAGACATATTATTTGTACCTCTGCTCTAGAGCTTGTGTTGCTAATCATGTGCTAGGCTTGACCGATAACTGGCTTTACGGGCTGATGGTCAAAATAATTTTGTAACGATGTGTCTCGTATTCATCGACAATAAACTTCACAAGGTCAGGTACTGTTCGTGACAGATGCCTACGTCCTGATTCGTAAACCAGAACCAACGTGGCTGCCATAAACCATCACCGGTGCGGTACAAATTACACCGAATCTGTGTAAGACCTGAAAAGTTGGAAGGGACTACTATTTCTGTAAAGCATTTATTTGCGAATAGACAAAGAGGGCGGAGAGCGCTCCTTAAGGGGCAGCCCCGTACAAACGTTAGGTTGGCTCCCCTTTACGGGAGCCAACTGGCGTCGGTTGAGGCCAGCCCCCGCTCCAATAAGGTAAGAGAGGCGTTAGGTCAGAGCAGCATAGCCTCTGGGATGGGCAGGGTAAAAAGGATGAGGTTTGGGGGTTTTGTGGCACGCCCACACCATGTGGAGTATGTCACGGGGATTTTCCTCCCATGGCAGGCACTTCTCCATGCAAGCGTGGTTGAAGTGCGTTACGATTGCCGGGTATGATAGAGATTTGGTATGAAGGCGAAGAAAGATTGACTCCTCCACTTTTGGGAGGCAGTCACAGAGGTTAGGTTAAATATGATGGCCGGATTGGTAATATGGCGTGATCTTCTCAAGTTGTAGGCAGGATGGGTTCCAGGTCCTGATCATTAGGGAATCAACAGGGCTTCTGGAGAGATAGAGCGCGCAGGAAGCGGCAGCGGCCACCTCATGACCATCGAGGCTCTTGTAAGCCAGAGCCCGTATGATCGATCATTCGGTGCGCGGGGGCACCTAGGTAGTCGCTGTTTTGCAGGATTTATTTAACCTCTTCGATATTGTGACATCCACCTCTTAGGTCGGTGATGATGACCGTCGGTGAGGATAACCCGAAAGAAAAAAAGAAAGACATGTTGTTTCTACTGTACCAGTTGGAGCTTCATACGCTTCATCTTATTTCCTTTCGGTGATTTCAGATTTCACACTTCAGAAACTAAATGATTGCACACTTCAGACAGTAAATTACTGAATACTTTGGGTAACATCTCTCCGTCAAATCCAAGCTGGCAGTCTACTGATGTTAACCAATACTGAAGCAGAAAAATACCCTGTGCACCGACAGTCTAACTGACTTGTTAGGGTATACGTTCGGGCGTGTTGGCTTGGATTCGTAGTGTGCATGAACTAACACGTGCTCTCTTTATCCTCTTCATTTGGATGTTGTTCTGTGATGCGACGCAGCCTGCCAGCTCGAAAAGGGCACTACATAGTTAGATAAAAACTCAAAGCCGAAATACGGCAGTTGTCAACATGGACGCACCCAAGGAAGACCGGTTGAGGGCAACACACGCTACGTCACTTGTATTCATTGATGTCCAACACCGTGTGAATTAGTTATGTGGAGGCACGTCCTTCTTTCCTGCTGTGAAGATATTTCTGCAAAATAGGAATAAGAGAAGCCTTTTTTTTTCGGTAATTCAGCCTGGTATTCATCTGACACGTGATAATTTTCTATCTACGACCCAGAGTAAAACCTCGAGAAGAACAGACCTGCTATAAAGGAATGATAGGTGTTTTACCCAAAATATTCTCACTATAAATACGATTTCGAAAGACCTAAGAGTTGTACATGTTAACGAAGCAAAAATTCGTACAAGATACGCAACTACCTTTGTTCTAGTAGATCACACAAGATGCCGGTCCTCATAAAATCCCACTTGAGAACAAAATGTCAAGAATTGGGCTCCTTTCGTGGCTACGTGAAGCTCAAAATACCACGATGATGCTTGGCTTCTTTATTATGGCATCACGACCAGTTTAAGTATCACTAACCACTGCTTGACTGTATTTATCACAAAAAGCCACACAACTCCTCTGTCTCGCATGAAGCCCCACTTGAGAAGAAATCACTAAGACTTAATCAAATGTTCTTTTAGGGCTACACTAAATCCTCAAAGTATCCCACTGCGTAGCCGCCGTATTTAGTATCATGTCTAGTTGAAGTATCGGTAACGGTACTCAGCTGCGATTTCTATAAAATATTACAGAATAAAGCCTCCTGTCGCTCATGGAGTCCTATTTCACAACAGAACGCCTGACTTAAAAAAAAAGGTTCGACCATGGCTACGTGAACGTACCAAGGACTCTTGCTCATGGACAAATGGCGGACACGTTCATTCGTATGCTTGCGACATACTCTGTTTTCTATTGTTCCGACAATTGTTAACGCTCTAAATTAAAAAGCAATGAGCAGATAGAACGATAGCCCGATATCCCGCCTTCTCACTTTTCAGGCAGGTGAGTCTACGAAAGGAAGTCATCTTCGGATAAGAGCACAAATTCATCCTACAAAGATGCGGCCGTAATTGCCACAGCATGTTCCAGAAAGTGTCGCACAATGAATGAGCAAGTCGGCCTTCCGCGGATGGTTCCTTGCTGCTTTAAAGAACGCAGCTACCAAACTGACTGTCATTACAAGATAAGTGTTGTACCGTCGGTAGAGCCGCTACTGATGTTTTCAGGAGCTATCGTTCTCGCGTCTTTTCCCATGGTGGAAACATAGAACAGCAGACATTTCGAACAGAGATGCACCGCATTCGTGAGCACAACACAACTCAAGCTGCTCTATTTGATGGCCTGTTTATTATCGTGTCTCTAGTCAGTTTTAACATTCTCCTAATGGTTTCACAAGTGCTGGTGCAGCGACAGCTTGACATTGAAGAGTCGTTCCCAACTTTAAGCGCAGCTCAACGATACCTCTTCCGGACCTCAGCGAAGCTATAGCCAACTTCAGTTCTAGTTGACAGCTTTTCATTCATTCTTCTTTCGTGAAAGCAGGCAAGTGGGTCTGTCAACCTAATCTTTCGGTACTACTTTATCTGAATTTTTGACGTCCGTGCAATATATAGACTCATTTAGAAGATGGTCACAGTTAGCCAGATGACCCTTCCAACTGCGGCTATTTCATGGCTGCTCAGCTGGCAACTGCCTCACCAGACGCTGGAACTGGTGACCGCCGCTGCACTGGCAGCACTCGCAGTGTTTGTGTCGTACTGGACACTATGGCAGATTCGAAGGCGTTTCCTCAACGCACCTGTCGAAGCACAAGGCAAGAGCGTTCTCATTACAGGTTAGTGAATGTCTTTCGTTTGTCATATTTTGCTTCTGCTGTATCTTCCCGAGACATATGACACTTTGACCGTGCGTTTCCATGTAACGCCACTTGTGCCTATTTACAAATGAGAGTATTTTGTCCCAATTTGAGTAATATGTGATGACTTAGAGTGTACTATTATTTCGCATTTCTTATACTCCTCATTCGAAGGCAATAAAGTTCTGATATACTAGCTGTTGCATGTACTGTCGAAGACCCATATGCCTAATGCTTTCGTATCAGTATACGACTATCACTCGATGAAAGCTTCTACAAAGCTACGACTAGCAGAGCATTGGTGTTTGCCCAGCCACCTACAAAGGCCAACATCAATGTGTTTTTTTATAAACCAAAATTACCGGTTCTCAATAAAGTTCATTCCTCCCCTTCTAAATAAAAAACCTACCGAGAAATTTTACTTTCTTGACAGTCCGTACGGACTTCCTGCTAGTGTTGTACTGCTAACTAATGGATACCTACTCTCCCTTTCATAACCACTGCGTTTCACAGTCAATGGAACTTTCAAACCTAAAGTTAACGTAGCTGAACGCTACACCACGACTTCCCCCTTAAACATATCGAACTTTGCATCTAGCTTACGGATACTCGCAGCATCGTCCCGCTACCAGGCACCGAGGATGATCTGATGCCAGATGTCATCCACTCCTTCTGATACTCTCGGCCTAATTCAACAGATTTTTTTAGTTCGAACGCTAAGAAGATGATGACTTGCTACGAAGACCAGCAAGGCCCCATCTAACCAATATTTGATGGCCATAACCGATATTTAATGGCCATGTTTGGTGACCTTAACCGATATTTGATGGCCATAAATATGTACTACACTCTGATTATCTGCCAATTAGATCTTTTGGAAGAACTTTACACGTTTGTGCGTTTTCCTCAAACTGTTTTCTATGTTTTCTTTTGTCTTTTTTATGTAAACAGCCTTCGTGATGTTCGACTTTTTTCTGCGAAGAAGAGCTCGAGAAACCTCATTCAATTTTAGGTGTTACGGAGTGCAACTAACACCCACTAGAATATAGCCTACAGTTTGGTCTTAGAAAAGGAATCTCTGAAGCCAGACAATGTACCCTTGATCCTGCCCTGCTATGGCAACATATAAACAGCTGGCAACATATAAACTTGGCCCCCCATTTTTTCTTTCAGTTTGGGCAGTTTTAGCTCCCTAATGTAGCCCTGACCATTCCGTAGTAGTTTGTGCCTTCCTTGTGGAACGACCCATATGACTGGTTTCATATATGCACACTTACTCGGCAGCAGTGGCGACGTGCTGTTATGGCCCGGTGCTGAATGATTTCTTCGTGTTTACAGGATTACCTGCATCACTACTGACGCGCAACGCAACATATCAAGAGACCGGAACCACACTTCTGGAAACTACCGAGAAGATTACACCAATCAACGTGACCCCTACGTCACCACGAAACGCCTACAAAAGGAGCCTGACATCGATGGAACAGACCACACTTACTCGGCAGCAGTGGCGACGTGCTGTTATGGCCCGGTGCTGAATGATTTCTTCGTGTTTACAGGTTAGTTTATTCTTTGTATACCTAGTGCTCATTAAGCCCGTGGTTGCCGCTGCTGCTGAGTAACTCGCCTCTTGAGTGTCTCTTGTGTCGTGAGCTTGTGTTAGCACGCACAATGCCAGAAACTTGTCTTGCCTGCCATAAATCATTTCATGGCGAAGAGCAGTACTTATTATGCTGCGAATGCAACTCTCATTACCATGTTGGAAATTGTTCCGGGGTATCACTATCCGCGTATCGAAAAAAGACAGACGCCACAATAAAAACCTGGAAATGCGCTACGTGCAAAACCACAAAGCCTCGAGGAAGTCATAACACAACAAATTTCAACGACGAAACTGAAGTGGACCTTTCTCGTGAAATCAACGAAATACACCGCAAACTTGCTGTGCTTATTGAAATGAAAGTGAAAGTAGATGCACTAGATGAAATTAAGGCAACTGTTGACAGCGTCGAACAAGCAGTGCAGGAGATGGCTAAGAAATACGATGAGGTCATTTCGCAGATGAAACAGCAGAATGCCGATATTACAGGACTAAAAAAACGCGTGGAAAAACTTGAGGTCAAAGTGAACGATTTCGAAATCGGAAAGCTGAAACAAGAGCTTAATGACTTGGATCAGTACAGCCGACGACTAAATTTAGAAATACACGGTATGCCCTATCATACAGGAGAGAATTTGCTTGACAAACTTAATAGGCTAGCAGATGACCTTGACGTCCCACATCTTTCTGACCAGGATGTGGAAGCCGTTCATCGACTGCCACCCAAGAGAAAAACTGATAATGCAAGCAAAACAGAGACGGTTCCGCCCATTTTGGTTCCGTTTTTTTCGCGAAATATTAGGGACAGTTGGCTAGCGAAGAAAAGTGAACTGAGGAAAACTAAATCAAAAATATTTCTAAATGAAAACCTAACAGCGCAAAACAAACAGCTTTTCTGGAAGATGAAAACAAGAGCAGTTGAACGAGAATATCAGTTTGTGTGGCATAAGAGTGGTAAATTGTTTGTTCGCCGTAGCCCACGCGATCGTGTAATTCGGATTATCACGATGGATGACCTCGAAAAGATAAAATAGGGCTCTCATGCATGCTGCTTGTCATTGCACGTGACGTATAAAAATGGCAAGGTTCAATAAATATTATGATAAGGACGCTTTTAAGGCTTCCGCCGCATCATGCTCTAGAAACGATTTGTCTATTCTGCATTTAAATGCGCAAAGCTTGAAAAGTAAGGAAGAACGCGTTTGCATGCTTCTTGATGATTTTAAATACAACTTTGACATTTTAGCCTTTTCTGAAACATGGTTCACCGATGAATATGAGGTACAATTAATTCCCAGGTTACAGATGTACAACCGTATCCAGAAAAGAAAAGCGAGGAGGCGGGGTAGCATTTTATCTCAAAAACGATTTGCATTTCGAAACTGTGACAGAGTTTTCAGTCGTAAACCCACACTACGAATCCCTCATGATGAAGTACTACCATACTGCAATTGTGGTAATTTATAGACCGCCCTCTGGTGCCATAGATGCCTTTTTCAACTTTTTAGAACGTATGTTGAATTTTTGTTCCGAACTCGGTCTGACTATTGTTACGACGGGTGACTTCAACATCAATATGCTGTCTCTAGAACGCAACAAACAAGTCTTCTTGATCTATTTCTCTCTTACGGCCTAGAAAATGTAATTGATGTACCGACAAGAGTAACAGATGTCTCCGAAACTCTAATTGATCTATGCTTTATCCCACAAACGAATGTCATAGAAGCAGGTGCCTTGATATCTGATGTCAGTGATCACATGCCAATTTTTGTTTTCTTCAACCCTCATTCAAAAACACATAGAATGCGTGCCAATAAAGCTTTTAAACTTAGAAAGATTAACAAAAGCAATGTTGCTGCTTTTCAAACGGCTGTTAGTGAAACCTCATGGTCTTATCTGTATCAGTTAACGGATCCTGTCATTGCTTATAATTATTTTATCAATCACCTTAAAAACTTTATGATGAAGCATTTCCTGTAACTACTATCAAACAAAACAAGAAATGTAGGAAACCTTGGATTACCACGGTGCTTCTAAGGGGAATGAAGGAACGAGACAGACTTTTTAGTCAATTCATTAAAACTAGACAACCTAATCTCCTAACTGTTTATAAGAAAATTAGAAACAAACTAGGGCGTGATATCAAAGAAGCAAGAAATTGTTATTACGAAAGAAAGTTCGAAACCATTCTAAATGACCCCAAACGTGTGTGGCAAACATTAAAAGGCCTACTGCCGCAAAAGAGCCACTCAGCGTCTCTGAAATTGTAGACAGCGATATAACTTATACCGGTATATCTTTGGCTAATAAGTTTAATGAACACTTTTTAAAATGTGGAGCATCGGTAAGTGATAACTGTGACAGGCATAATTACAGGTCATACATTATGCATAACTCCTTGAATTCTCTTTTCATGGAGCCAACAACAGAACATGAAATTAAAACCCACATACTAAAGTTAAAGAATGCATCCGCATGTGGCCAGGACGAGATAAAAGCCGAGCCGATAAAAGCAGTTGTCAACAGTATCAGCAATCCTTTATCGCACATATGCAACCTCATTTTGGCTACAGGCGTGTTCCCTGATAAACTAAAAATCGCTAGAGTAACAGTTATATTTAAGGGAGGCGATAGAAATGACATGAACAACTACAGACCAATCTCGGTACTACCACTGTTTCCAAAGTTTTCGAACAAATGATTAATGTAAGAATTATGAATTTCTGCACTAAAAATGATGTACTTACAGGCAATCAATACGGCTTTCAGAAAAAGAAGTCAAGTGAAATGGCTCTTTTAAGTATCAAAGAAAAAATAATTCAGAATTTTGAAGACAAAAAGTATACTCTAGGGATATTTCTTGATTTTAAAAAGGCATTTGACTCTATTAAGCATGATATCTTATTAAAAAAGTTAAGCGAATATGGCGTTAGGGGACTTGCTCTTGACCTTATACGCAGTTATTTGACAAACCGCTACCAATACACAGACACCAATCATTCAAAATCAGTTTTAGGTGAAATTAAATACGGTGTTCCTCAGGGTTCCATCCTTGGACCACTTCTTTTTTTATTATATATAAATGATATAGGTAATATTCCGTTCACGCCAGATATAATTCTTTACGCCGATGACACGAATGTATTTTTTTCAGGAGAGAACCTACATATTCTTCAGTTGCAAGCTAGCAAATGGCTCAATAATTTATCTGAGTGGCTTATTGTAAATAAACTAGAACTAAATACCAAAAAAACTAAATATATAATTTTTCGCTGCCGAAATAAGTCAATCAGGAATGACGTACATTTGAAATTCCGTGGCGAGATCATCGAGCGTGTAAGAATACATAATTTCTCGGTGTTCTTTTCGAAGAAAATCTCAGCTGGTCTCCTCATGTCGATAACCTCACAAGACGCATCTCACGTTCAATAGGTATTATCAGCAGAGCAAAGCAACTTTTGCCACGTTGGTTAAAACTCCAGCTATATTACGCACTAATTCATTCCCATTTACAATACTGCCTCCTTGTGTGGGGAACAACAACAAAAACAAATCTTAAAAAGCTGTATATCCTACAAAAACGTATTGTGCGAGTTATTGAAAATGTGCCATATATAACTCACTCCGCTCCACTTTTTAAAGCGAACACTATATTAACAATGCAACACATACTGAAAAAGAAGCTAGGCATTACAATATTTCAGAAAATAAAGTTATGCCACGATAGTTTTTTTCGACAATTTCTGGGAAAAGGACACGCTTACGAAACCAGAAAAACTAGGTATGTTAAAGGTTTACACGAACTAACTATGGTATGCAAAAACAATCTTACGTTATAGCAGACTTTTTAAATCATCATCCTACCGTGATAAACTTGGTACAAGAAACGATGCACATGAAATGCTTCAAAGAAAGTTAACTGCATATCTCCTATCAATACAAGAATAATTCTGTTTCTTTTTTTCTATTTTTTCTTTTTTTTCTCTTTTTTTTTACCTTGCTGCAGTTTATACTGTATATGTATATAGAAAATCTTTCTGTTTCATATGTATATAGAACAATGTATATATGTAGAAAATCCTGTATATGTTCGGCCAAAATATGTATACTATATGTAACCTTGTGTATTTTGCTTAGATAACTGCCACTGATGTTTGAGTTGTGTGTGTCTAAAAAGGGGTGTGACACCCAGTCAGGCATTCGTGCCTTTTTGTCACTCCTCCTAGACAGGGCAAATGTACATATTACTTGTCTTTGTCTGAAATAAATACGAAATTTTCAATTTTTCAATTTTCAATATATGACGTTCTATTTGTGCATGTATAGGATCAACAGATCATGTTCAAAAATGGTTCGCTTATTGTTGTTTTTTGTTATTTCATCTGCTATTGTCAAATAGCGCGATCCTTCATTTAAAAAAAAATGAAGCATGACACTCCTCGTGCAAGGAACAGAGTCTGAATATTTAGAACTTCGGGCATTTTGTTGCGCACAATCAACTGTTAAAGACCAATATTCAATCCTGAACTAAGCATGAGATGATGACGTCTAACGAGTATTACTGAATGTGTAAGTCTTTTTAAAGAAGCCAATATGCTTGTGTTTTTTTTAATTATGAAAATATAATGTCATTTCCTGGTGTAGGCCCGTGTGCTCAGATTTGGGTACACGTTAAAGAACCCTAGGTGGTCGATATTTCCGGAGCCCTCCACTACGGGGTCTCTCATAATCATATGGTGGTTTTGGGACGTTAAACCCCACATATCAATCAATCAATGTCATTTCCTGGAAGACTCAACAGATAAATGTATGACGCTGGTGACATTGAAAGATATTGAAGAAATATCTCAGCACAGCTGATGTGATATTTTTATTGCTCGAAAGTTTTTATGCGTAAATTTTCTGTTGAAGAATAAAACCAAGGGCGTGAAATGCGTGTGTCATGCGAATGTGCACATTTTACGTACGTCCGCTGCAAAGAAATACGGTCAGTGCCCCAAACAAGTTTTTCTGTTTTTTGTGGGACCACATTTTGTGTTAGTGCTACTTGCTGAATGAGGAAAGATCAGAATACTATCAGATAACAACCACAAAAATGTCATTACATACGGCGAGATCATGTACAAAAATGTAACCATATGCTGCATTCATAGGTTGTGATACCGGCCTTGGCTACCTCTTGGCTAAGCAGCTGGCTGCTGACGGCTTCTACGTTTACGCGGGATGTCTCAGTGCCACTGGAGAAGGAGCCAAAATCCTTCGCACCAAGACCAACATAGAGGTGCTACAAATGGACGTTACAAAAGATCACGACGCCGAGGCTGCGTACGAAGCAGTGGAGAGAACTCTTGGCAAAAGAGATAAGCAATGTCCTTTTTTCATGTAACCGTTTGCCATAGCAAATGGTGGGGAGGTAACCTTTTATTTGTTAGTGTGTATATATAACGGCACACCAACACAAGCATGAGCATATGCAGAAGAGAATAGATCACCTTCCCCGTCCCCTCCAAAAGGAATTCCGGCTACGCCCTTGTATGTAGGGTAGCATCGCTTGTGCAAATACGTGTTAATATAAATTATTACCCCCTTCACAAACGAATTATGGTGCCATTGCATTGTCAGAAACGCGTGAAAATCGCGAGGCATAATGCCAAGACATCAATGTCACATTCCAAGAAAGAAAATGAAGGAATGTGTTGTTTCATGTGAGTTTCAGTAACTAATGTTAATGAGTGTAACTAATTATCTAACTATGCTGCTACCAGCCTGCTTCAGTACTTGAATAAAAATCGTTCGTTCCGATATGCATGTACAGTTTCTTTTTTCGTTCTATTGGTTTCGAGCAGGAAAAAATACTCTTGACGTGGGTCCTGGACCATAGCACGTCGAACAATCGTCAACCATGATAGTGTCTCCTGCAAAGTGATCATCTGGAGCATTATGGAGCACAAAAAAAAAATGAAATGACTGCTGATTGTCCACTCAGAAAGCCTGAAGGAATGTACTCACCGAGTTTCAAGCGATTTGAAGAAATTGTGGCGTGTGACGCTCCTTTGAAGTTTGCGTGGACAAATGTAGACGCCGTGACGGAGAGCATTATAGCGTACAAAAGACAGGAAACGGATAAATAAACTTGGTTTCGTTAAACGAAAATGAAGCCGACAGATTATGGGAACATAGAAACATAATGGTGAAACTGCTAGCGTTACCACAAGGACCTGAGCAATATCATCGAGAAACACGGGAACATGCTTAGCTTAAAAGGACAATAGTGTCAGTCGATGTCGGGCGTGGTGCCATCTTCCTCGTTCATGTCCTTGTCCCTTTTCAGCTAGTAATCATGTTTAATATGGTTGACACCAGCTGGCCCAACTTTCCACCTTATTTGAAATAGAATCGGCGGTTGGCTCCGGCAATACATTCTTCCTTCCATCACATGTCCAATAAAATTCATGCGGACTGCCAAAGTAGGCACCACAAAACGTTGAAGAGGAGTACACAGCACTTGGTGTTGTCTTCTGTGTCGGTCTTTGTTATTTCTCTTTTTTTGCGCTCTGTTTATACTAAATGCATGACCAACTAGTCCACCAGACTATAGTGTTGCTGGCTACGGGTCCAAAAAAGCTTAGGCGTATTCCTGGTACCTTTGACGAATACTTAAATACATAACTGAGTAGACTAAACTGAGGACTGGTTGACAGAAAAGCACATTTCCTAGCCATATCTTTTTCGACTCGTTTCTTTGCAGAGCTGTGGGCTGTTGTGGCCAACGCTGGCGTCCCGAGTCTCGGCTACATTGAGTGGCAACCCATGAGCCGCATACAGTACGTTTCCAGGTCAATACGTTTGGAGTGGTCCGAGTCGCAAGGGCATTTCTGCCACTTCTGCGCAAGACACCCGGAAGCAGGCTGGTCATCGTCACGAGCCTTTTAGGTAAGTTCGCTCTACACTATCGTGTTCCTGGTAGTGCTCCTCCATTTCGAGAAACCTTTGAATTGTTGTTGGCATCTTCTTTGTATCTTTCTGGCGACTTGGGCGTGTCCTTAGGTCATTGTACTTTGTGCATATTTTTATTAGATGATGGCGATTGTCTTGCAGGAGAAAGTATTTACTGGCTCGCAGTGAGTTGAGGAGTTGAGGGAGGGGTGGGGGTGGACTGAAGATCTGTTTTTTTTTGTACTTTCGTTCGTTTCCTTTTACCATGTTTCCTTGGAAGGCTGTAGTTTTTCATGAAGGCTTTGAGGATGGTATACAATTTCCTATTGTTGTTTCATTGGTTTTTACTTCCATTACGTTCATCTCGCGAAAGACCGAGAGCTATATAAGAAAACTTTTACTGCCGTTCTGAGAACTGGCTAACCTCCCGGTCCTTCCAATCTTTTTGCTCCTCCTCATTTTACTGTATTCATCTGAGTGGAACATCGAGGGCTTTACTCCTACTTGCTCTTGCTGAGCAATATTGACTTGAACCATTGTACCTTCACCTGCCCTTTGCCGCAGGACGGATGTCAATGCCGGCATCAATGACCTACTGCATGTCTAAGCACGCCTCCACATCGCTGGCAGACTCCCTTCGGCGACAGTATTACGACAGGGGTGTTCACATAAGCACCGTGGAGCCAGGTGCATACAGGTGAGCCAAATTGAAGTTTTTGTCTAATACTTGAACGGCAAAGCACCGTGTTTTGCTTTTAGCTTACTTCCGTCATTTCATTAACTGACGAATTCATTCTGTCAGCGTTTTTCTGCGTATTCATAATTATCCAAACACTGTGGAATGCGTTTGGCACTTGCGATTTCTTTGGGTGACTTGTGAAGTTTACCGTTTGCGGAGGGTGTACTCAATTACTGAATTCTCTACAAGAATGTTTGTTCTGGGGACATTAACCATTGATGTTCTACCTGCTCAAAACGCAACATTGGTCAGCCAATACTAATATTGGCTAAATGTAAATAATTGTGCAAAACAATGAAAAATGTTAACGTAGCCTTTATATCGACATTGACAACAAATACTAAGGCGCTTCCACTTCAACTCGGTTCTCGAAAGCACCTCAGAAGCAATATTCAATATTGCTGCGAATGCTTTATATCTTCGGCAGTGAATAATATTACAAAATCATTAGGCGATGTTCTCTTTCTCACGTGTTACCTGCCACACATCATTGGTCAATAAAGGGTGAATTATGGGGAGGCGATGCAATGCAACGGGGATCAGTGAAAAAACACAAAATTAAAAGCAATATTATTTAAAACTAGACCCCTTATACTATCGCGGCGCTAACTTGTTGAGGCGCTTAACCTTCACCAACGTTCTTCTAATTAATGCCGCACGTTCAGGACTCCCATGGCTAACCACGACACCATGGCGGAGACACTGCGCAAAGACCTGAGCCTGCTGCCCGCTCGCGTGCGCAGCGGCATAAGCGACCACTCACTGGGAAGTCTTCGCAAGTCGTCCGACGTCCTGTACTCGTCTATCATGAGAGATGACTCGCAAGAGGCCGTGAACGTCATGAAGTCGGCCGTGCGAGACCTCGTTCCCAAGGTCTATTACAGGGCCGGCGGTCTCGAGGACATTCTCTTGCGCCGGCTGTACGAAGTGGTGCCAGCTGAAGTGACAGACGAGGTGGTCCACATGATCCGCAAGGTTGCCCGAGCTGCGAGGCGTAAAGCGTAGAAGTGCCACGCTGCATCCCGGCTGTGAAAGATGGTCTTCAAAGGCTGGACTTGACCCCATTTTCTGCAACCACTCTTCTGGAAAGCGATGCAAATTTGCGGAGTCGCATGTGGTTGGGTGTTAATAAGACCTAATGAAATGATACCAAGTGTAAGAGATCTTATTAGTAGTTATTTTAATGTAAACGTAAAGGAAGAGAAGTGGAGAAAAAGACAACTTATCGTAGGCAGGTATCGAAGCTGTGATCTTCGAAAAACAATTCCAAATCTCCACTCGTTCATTTCTCTTTCTTCACATTTACCCTGCGATTACTGCTAATTACATCCCCTACAGTTTCCATCAAAATATTGTCTGTTAGGTCTTCTTGACATTGCGTTAACGAAGAAAAGCGAGCCCTTAAGTTTTCGCTTCTCTCCTTCATGCGGCCGGGAGAGGAATTTGCGAATGCTTATCCTTACCTCATAGGAATCACAAGCAGCACGGCATGCCACCTTCGTAGTTGCGGGGAGACGATACAGCGCATTCTATGTCCTGCCCATCTTGCCCGACCCAACGGCATATTCTGGAAGTCACACTTGATCGTCTTGATGCAAGACCACTATCGAAAAAGGAGACCCAAAAACTTTGCCGCACAGTTTTCGAGCCTTGCACAAGACTACGGAAGTATTGTACTTGAAAACGTCCAGACTTCACGACTGTCTGTGAACTACCAGTACGAGTTCGGGTTGATCGTGTTCCCACTAAGTGTTCGTTTTCTTCTTTTTCTTGGTGTTCTTTTTCTTTCCTCTCCATCCCCACCTCACGCACAAGGTGGGGATGGAGAGGAAAGAGCCAAGGCGTTGGTCGCCTCCTTGTATTTCCTCTTCTCTCTTCTCTCTCTTCTCTCTATCTATCTATCTATCTATCTATCTATCTATCTATCTATCTATCTATCTATCTATCTATCTATATATATATCCATCTATTTATATATCTATCTCTCTAAGGCAATATACATGTGCCTCGAAACCTATAAGGCAACGAAAGCGTTACCGGCGTATTTAGTGATAACAGACCTATGTGACCGGCTACAGTGATACGTGTTACCCCAACTGTGCTCGTGTCTGAGTACACCTCTCCTCTCTTCTTCCTTCTTTCCGTCCACCCTTTCATCGCTCTCTACCAGTGCAAGGTAGCAAACCAGACGTGCGTCTGGTTAACCTTCCATGCCTTTACTTGCTTCTTTCTATCTGGTTGAGAGTCTTGAGGGGTTCATCCACCGAGGTGGCTGTGGCGGTTCCGGCACTTCAATGATGGCCTGAACGTCACGGCATTGAATCCCGGCCGTGACAGCCGCATTCTGATGGAGAGCAAATGCTAAAGGCTAATGTGCTTAGATTTTAGGGCACGTTAGAAGCCCTAGGGGTCGAAATTCCGAAAATCGACTCCTCCACTACGGCGTCTCGTAAATATATGTCGCGGTTTTGCGACCACAATATGATAAAACTGAAGCCTTATTATTATTATCAATATTGTTGTTGTTGTTGTTATTGTTGTTGTTGCTGTTGTTGTTGCTGTTGTTGTTGCTGTTGTTGTTGTTGTTGTTGTGGTTGTTGTTGTTGTTGTCAGCATCATCATTATCATTTTGAACGGTTATCTGTAGGCAACAGTGGGAATTTGAGGCGTTGTTATTCGGCCTGCAGCACCTTAACAAAATGGTTATTACCTATTGCCCAACATCAAACGCTCTTCACCAAATTGAACGAAAGAAAAAAAATCAATCAAACAGCCCACCTTTCTTTTCTTAAAACCGTGAAACGTTCTAGGGTGGCATAGCGAAAGTTGTTTTTTGGCTTCCACCATCGTTCTTTTCCTACTACTTCACAATTGTTACACCTAAATAAAGGCCCTCAAACAGCACCCCCAATAATTTCTTTAGAATCACGTGTTAATATTTAGCTTGTGTGAAATGTTTGCAATGTTGTGTCGCGCACAGTGAAATGAACTTGACGTGCTATAAATGTCTACATATTTATTCTTGCCACCAGCGTGTTTTTCTTCAAACCACTTCATCCTCCCTGTGGTACTGTCCACGTGCTCACTGTTCAACAGTTTCAGTGTCACCCTTCTCCAATATTACAAAAACGTCTGCACGTGATCACTGCTTTCAACCGTTTCGCAAGTTTTCTTTGGAAAGCTAAAGCGTTCACCTCAATGATTCGGGGGATCCTTTCCGTAATATGTTGCGCAAGAAGAATTTCATGAAGTACAATGTTAGGTTGAGCCCTGAATTCGAAATGTAATGCTCTCCCCAGTACTGTTCAAGGTGCGGGTCTTCACCGCTAATAGAGCATCTGCGAAATCTACAGGATACCATCCACTTTTTTTTCTTATATGACGTGAGACGAGCGAGTATAAGGTATAACTTTATGTTGCTTTCCAGTCAAATGTACAACATTAATTATCAGTTTCGGGCTGAACAAAGATATTGCAATATTTATGACGTTTACCCTTCGTACATACTTGTTTGTATTTCTTTGTAGCTGTATCTCAAAGTGTATTTTTGTCAATTAAAAGTTGGGCATAGAGCCCTAAGTTGTCTTTTCTGTTTTATTACCTCCGCTGTCTTGCGAATACGAATAGCACGTCGCTACGTGCTATTCGTATTCAATCCACAGCTAAAAAATGATCGCAGGTTTTGGTGACGATAGAGTAATCACTACATCAAATGATTCAGTCTTAAAATGCTTCCCTCCGATTTCCGACCAAGCACTATAAAGGTGGTTTGTTAGCACCCTTCGCAATCGTGCGTGAGACGACTAAAAAACATTCTGTTTACTGTTCGAGCAAATTATTCATCTCTGTTCACACTGATTATCTCTGTTCACACTGTATGCTGGGTTCGTACCATTGTCCAAGAACAAAAAAAGTCACAGCACATCCACGAAGTGAATGATCACAAGTGTACGAGGCTTCGGAAGATCAAGCTTCAGCCGCTCCAGGTCGGCTTGCCGTTTCGCTGCAGCTTCGTGAACCCACAGTCTGAACCCGCTTGTATGCGAGTCCGTGCCGCAGCCACTCTGAGAGCCCGAAACTATAGACTGAATAGCCACGATGCGAGCCGTCATGTCTTCATTCTTAACGAAGTGCAGCCCATGACGGCCGGCGGGCCTCCTTGGATAGAGATATCCACATCCATATGGGCATGAATACCCATACGACGTGGTTATTTATAGGGATATCCATACACGTATAGATACCCATATGGTTGTCCATATTAATAGTCATATTGATATGGATATTCATAGCGTGTCGCGCTGACGGACAAACACATGGTTCGACCATAGGGAGCTTCACCCCTAAAAACAACATCTCTTCTTGCGTGAGAGACGAGAACTAACACGTCACTGCGTCACCCAGTGTGCGCGAGAAGAATCTTGTGCCACCCTGTGGTGAAGCAAACAGTCAGACACAGTGAATACTGCAGCCCTTCGAAAAGTGCGTATGTTTCCAGCCCGGACTGTTACAACCACGCTTTGGTTCACGCCAGCCACAATTTTCATTTCGTGCGTCGATGCCCAATCACAAGATAACGGTAAATTAAACTAATGAATTATGGCGCATCGTTCTTGACACCATTCTAGCATGGGACTCTCCTTTACTCAGAAGCCAAGACATTTCACTTATGAGATGCCGGAGGTAAGTGGCAGCTGTTAGCAGCTCACATACGCGCGAAAAAAGGCGCAAAAAGACGCGCATGAGCAATCAAACGACAAACCCGAGACAAAGACCCGGATAGTTGCGAAAACTTGTTTATTGTTAGTTCATGACTTCTGTAAAAATATGTCGTAACATTTCATTATTTCGCACAAGTTTACTGCTCCGCAATCGACAAAAATTGAAGAACCGTTCTGAAAAATCTGCATATCATTTTTTGTTGTTGTTGACAAGGAATAGTGAACAATATGTTGCAGCTACAACGCGATCTCTCGCATTTGAGAACAAGGGAATGACGTCACTACCTTCGTCATATGACGGGTTCGTGGCACAACAGCGCTCAAACCCATCGTGTACGACGTTGTGATTAGACACGTCATAGTCACTTAATGTAGGCACACGCTTCTGCGACCACTAGAAATCTACATCACCGCGCTTGTTGCTTCGCAAACCTTACTAAGACACTGTTGCAATACTTCCGATGCAATATCGTTGCCACTAAATTCAATGTGAACTTATTCAAAGGGTTACAGACTACGTAGACTTGTTAGCGAATCCACAACTTCACGTCAGTCGCATTGAACCTGAGGAAAGGCCAAGATGAGACACTATTACAGCGAGTACGTGTGACCCTGGTCCGTGTCATGTCGTAAGTCGCTGTGGTTACCGTAAGGTTACAAGGCCGCCGTCATGAGCGTAAAAGATGGCTCTCGTGCAGACTGAAGATAGTCGCGCGTGGCTTATCAAGGGCGACGAGTGCTCGCAATGTTACACACTGCACATTAGCATTGACGTGTGCACCTAAGCGCTCCATCTAACGTTAACAGAGTTGTACGTAACGGCTTACAACTGGTTGATTACTTGTAATGAGTTACGTCTTAGCGTAATTTTGCAATATAATTTTCAAAACAATGGAACCCTGGGTAACTTATTTAGATGTTCTTGTGAATGATCAGCAGTGATTAGTTTCTCTTTATTTAGGCTGTAACCAGTCTTCTAAGGCAGTTCTTGTTCCAATATATGTGACCGCTATATTCGACCACTCCGTCTAACAGGACGGGGGTCCCTACAGTGGTCCTTGGCCTTACCTGTAATGCCTCCCGCGAGTGCCTTCCACAGCGAAGCGCGACGCTTCACAGGTGACACGACACTACCATCGAAGCACTGAGCAGCCACAAGCTGGTGTGCAAGGTCTTCCGACTTCAATATAGCGATATTCCCTCCATCACACTCATTGAGGGAGTGTTGAGTGCAGCAATCGAGCTCTTAACGAGAAAATGCGGAAGGTTCATTCCCGAGAACTT